TGATTATCATTATTATTATTAGTGTACTTATTTATTTTTCTTCTTCTTCTTATTAATAACAAAAATAATTAGAATATTTTCTATTTATTGTCTATATTCATTAATAAAATTAATCATTTAATATTAAGAGTAATTGAAGTATTTTAATGCCAACTGAGAGTACGATAAAAATGAAGAACAATCAGAATAATTTCACATAATATTTATCGATTTTATTTTCATATGAATATTTTTATTTATTGTCTAGATTTATTGTATTATATTTATTAGTATAGATACTCCTTTAATATTATTAAGAATATTTTAAATATAATATTTTTTTTCAAATGAATTCCGATTACACAATTCGAAATATATTTTTAAATAAAAAAATGGAATGAATCCTGAAAATATCCATTGAAGTGAATCATATTTTTAATGGGGTGTAGAAAGAAAAAAGGGATGCATAAAAATATTCCCGTATCTTTCCTGTTTCTGTTGACAAAAAATAGCCTAACCCAACATCAAAGGCCTACACTAGAAAGAAAGGATTGGAAATATTTTTAATATGGAAAATTTAAAACATTTTTTCTCAATAATATTTTCAAAAAACATATTTAAAACAGCCTGAATTATTATTAGAAGACTACGTACATAGACATCAAATCTTATGGCTGAAATTACTTATATTACACGTTAAATAAATTTATTTAATAAAAAATCATACAGTTTTCAATTCTGGTAAAAACTTCAGTCTTAAACTACCGAATCAGAATTTTTGACTAACCTGATAAACTAATCAAATTTTAATATTTGCAAAAAATTATTAAAGAAATCAACTTTATGAAAAAATATTTTTCAGGTATTTTTTATAACTATATTATTGGTACAATTTGAAAACTTTCATGACTATTTTTAATGAGGTATTCTCTTTTAACTATTTTTCTGGTCTATAATATCCAAAGCCACTTGGATCATACATTCAATAAATCTTCTTTTGCAGAGATTTGGGAAAATTTACTAAAACATAACCTTAAATATTATGTTTGAAACAGAATTCATTTACAGATTCAAGATTGAAAATTCAACCATTTTTCAAGATACAATGTAAAATAACAAGTACCTGAAAGAAAACAAAGGAAAGAAGTGTAAAAACTTTACACTTTTCTTAAAAGAGTAAATGTCATGCGGATTCCAATGGACGATTAGATGTGAGTTTGAGATTCATTTTTCAACTTTCCAAAAGTAAAAAAATAATAATAATTCTTTTTTATTATAATATTTATAGTAATTATTCAATATTTTTTTATTAAATATAGTTTTAATATTATTAAAAAAAGTGAATATGGTTTTGTTAAATTAACATTAATATTATTAGAGAATTGGAGATGATAAAAAGGTGAAACCTCATTAGTTATTTTATTAGTCCACCAATGAAAGACAGGTTGAGACAACATTTTTAATATGAGAACTCAAACTAACTCGGTTCGCCAAGTTCGACAATTTGATAAGCCGAATAGTAAGTTACGTCGAGCCAACCAACTTCATTAACACAGTACGACGACATAACCAATGTTTGATATAGCTCGACCAATATCTCAAACAACCCAGATAATAGTTCTTTTCAATCCGAAATCAGCTTGATAGCTCGATAGTCCGACATCAACCCATTTTCACACAAAAAAATATAAAATTTCAGTTTGTTTCCATGTGATATTATATTTTGATGATAAAAAAAATAGACGAACTAGTCTTGCAACTCGAAGGACCAAGTTGTAAAGTTCAACCTATTTTCAATTAACAAATCAGTCTGGCCTGGTTCATTTTTGACAGACTAATATCGAGTGAGGCCTAAACAGGTTAACCCATTATGTCACCCTTTTAAAAAGCATTGACTTGATAAAATAATACAATATAAAAATATTCATACTAATTACAATCATAAAAAAACAATTACGGGAAATATTGAAATTAAAAAAGATATTAAGTAAAAGAAAGTTATTATCAACATAAAGAAAAACTCTATAAAGCACATGATGGATTAATCATATTAATATAATTCTTAATTTTTAATATGACTAATATTGAATTAATATTTGAATATTATTATAATAAAATAAATAAATAAATTTAAATTTTGGTATTCTATGAAATAGTTATTTTAATACATTGTTTTGAAATATAATATCTATTATCAACCAAAACTTCATAATAATTTTTATTTAAATTTATGATTTATTTTAACTGTAATTTACATTTTAAAAATAAAATTATTTTATAAAATTACGAACATTAACAAGTATTAAATAATTAATAGTTATTTTTATGAGAAAGAATACAACTCAAGTTACGCGATAAACATTTAAATATTTTTAACATTTAATTACGCACTTAAACATTTTTAATATTTAATTAAATTTCATTTTATAAGACATTTTAGTATTTTTCTTTAAAAAAATTACTCTATCATATTAATTAGAATTAAAAAAATATGTTTTATTTGTTTTTCTTTGCTTTGTACCCTCTTTTCCTTCGTCTAAATAATTTTACTATTCGGTCTATTTCTATTGCTTTCTTCTTCTTCTTTTCTCCTCCCCCATTTTCCATTAAGTACTTTCTTATCTTAAAGTTGGAAGTTTGGTTCTTTTGTGTCATGCTTATTATAGTGTAAAAGTTCTCCACATATTTCACTTTCATGCTCATTTAGAGCTTTTCATGAAAGAGATGTAATTTTTTAAAATTCTTCTCGATAAGAAAATTAGAATGCTTTACATAATTTCTTTAGAAACATTACAATATTTTAATTCTATTATTACCGTATAAAATGTTATTTACTATAAAAAAATGTTTAATAATCCAAGAGGTTGCGCTTAGTTTTAAGAACGGTTTCATCATATAGGCAGCACTATATACAAATTGTACTTGTCGGTATATCCAAGAGAACAATATTTTATATTTTATAGATAAAAATCCAGAAGTACTTAAATATAACACTCCAATATCTTTTTCAATATATTCGTCCTAGTCAGAATGAACGAAGCTCATGTCATTATTAATCAATGTTGACCACTTTCCAAGAGAGTAAGGTTCAATGTATTGAAATTTTTTAAATCTAATAAAAAATAATAACATTTTTTTTCAAATTTTGAACACTGTTAAATTGTTAACTTTTTAAAAAAACTTAAGTAATGAAGATTTCTGCATATATAATAAAAAAGTTATGATTTGATCTTCATCCTCAAAATAAATGTTGTATGACACACGAACTTTTAAATAATATCTAAACTTGAAAAACGAAATTATAAGCTTAATTAAAGTACAATTTGTTTATGTGAGCAATTTTAAAAATTTATTCATTTCAATAATTTAAAAGGAAAATGGATCCATTCATAAAAAAAAAACCTAGTATTCAATCTTGACTAGGTTCGAAGTTATCTGCTCATTCTTTTCCCATTTTTTTATTCCCATTATCACCATCGTCCCTTTGAACGGTATCTTGCCCGTGCTATTCGACTTTGTCTGGTGGGTGGGTTCAGGGAGAATGATGCCTTCAAAAAAACGTCGTTAAGGTGGTTCTACTTTCCATATCTATGATTAAAATATATTATATATAAAAAAAAGAAATAAGATGATACAAACTAGTGTTTTTTTTTTTAAAAAAATAAGAATAATATAACTTATCCTTACTTTTCGAAGGAGAATACCGACACGATAATTTAGTTTTTATGATATAATATATTGTTCAGATAACTGAATTTGAAAATTTAAAAATTTATGAACATTTATAAAAATAATTTAATGGAGGCGAGAAAAATTTATGAAAATTTTCAAACATAGGAATTTTAAATTTTATATATTTCCTACTTTTAAAATTTATAGTTATTCTTATTTCTTTTATTTCACTATAATTGATAACTTTTCCACTTAATTTTATTAAAAAATCATTATTTTAAAATACAGCAATAGGTAGATCTTATCATAAATTGGATTGGATCGATTTCGAATTCAACCTGATCAATCTACTATAACTTAAATTTAGTATTTTAAAATTTATATTTAATTATTTAATTTATTGATTAGTTGAATATAGATTGCGAGTTAATTTGGTCGGATTATTCAAATTTTAAGTTTATATAAGTTAATTTTTGTATCTAAAAAATTAATTTTATTTTGAATAAATAAAACAAATATAATGAATTTTTAACTAAAAAATTACATGCATAATTTCAATACTAATTATTATAACAGACTATGATTCTATATAATTTATTTTTAAATTTTAAAATAAAAATATTATATAGAAATGAAACTCACTGTCCAATCTAACTTTCCCATATCCGGACCGCTACTAATGTTCAATGCTATACTTATAATTATTGTGAACAAGAGATAAAAATCATAGGGTTTTATCTTAATCTAGAATGCATGGCCTTTAAATATATATATATATATATATATATTTATGTATATATATATGTGTGTGTATCACTTTAATTATGACTATTAGGGATTGTAGTGACAATTGATTCCGGATAGCATGTGTAGGTGTATTTAGTCATTTGTAGGTGTGATGAGTTTGAATGGACAAACCATCAAATATGTGAAGCTCAAGTAACTAGGAGAAGAAGCAAATAAATAACACATGAATTGGAGATCCTTCAAGTTAACCTCAAGCACCAAGGAGATGAAGCAAAAAGGAATGCAACATGGGATGACAAAACCCAAATATGTTCAGAAAGATATAAATTTTTCACCTCACTCACAATTTTGGAAAGGAACTCAGCACATGTACAATAAATGCAATGCACATAAGAACGGAAAGACCTTGTACACAAAAACCTGTTCTATTCTAATTTCTTCTTTTTAGTAATCTAAGAAAAATATATAATGGTAATTGATTGTTGGTAGGAAGATTTTTGGATAGTCTTTATGTGTGTGTATGGTTTGATTTAGGTGGGTCACTAAGGAAACAAAAATTATATATAAATATAATGGGACTTGAACATCCAAACCTTCGCCAATGGCACGTTGAGTCTCATGCACAGTATACATTAAACCTTCGCCCCTTTCCTTCCTTTTCTTTTGTTTCTTCTTTCCATTTTTCTGAAACTTTAATCGATTCTGCACTTCTGCCTGCTCATGTTTGTAAGGTATTACCTTTACCTGATTTTGAAAACAAAAGAAGAAGCAACTTTTACTTAATTTACTGTTGCTCACACAGAATAAGCCAAAGTCTTGCGACTGCAAAACAACTGATTGGGTAAATTAGAGTTGATTAATTTCAAGTTTATACGGTGGTGAAAACAGACCCAAAAAGCTTTACGCTTTGAAGTATGCAACTTACGTACTAACATAGGTTCAGTGATAATCCAAGGATGCAACAAACGACAAACAAATAGCTAAATAAACTTTAAACATATCCCCAGCTGGTTTCTACCGCAATAATCAAAATGTTGCTCAAAACCTATAACCTGAACTGTACAACATCACAACAATGGCCATGTAGCACCCAAAATAAGTCATATAAACAAATTCAAAGAAAATATATATAAAAGAAAAACACTAGGCCATCGCCGCCGACGTTTTCCGCCGGCCGCTTCAGAATAGCGGCGCCGGCTGATTAAGGTCGAACAAAAACGGCTTCTTCTTCTCTTCCTTGGTAACCACAAATCCGGCAATGTTCTCCAATTTGTAGCCCTTGTACTCCGACCTCACCGGCGCCCCGGAATCTGCATCCGTGGTGAAGAACAAGGGAAGGCCGAAGAACTCGACCGGTCTAGCGAGTGGGTCATGGGCTGGGGCCTGAGATTCAGGGGCAGCGAAAATCGCAGGAGCAACGACGTAGGTGAAGTTGGTTTTGGCCTTGGGCCCTCGGAGCGTTCTTGCTGCGGTGTCGTAGGCCCTGGCGGCTTCCTCGGCGGTGTCGAAGGTTCCGAGCCACTTTCTGGTCTTTTTCCAGGGATCGCGGATCTCGGCGGCGAAGCGGCCCCAGGGACGCTTGCGGACGCCTCTGAAATGGGCCTCTTTGGGCGGCGGCGGAGAGTGTTTGTTGATTGGAGGCGCGTGGGCAGGCATTGGAGAAGAGTGAGTGGGTGAGGATGGTATGAGAATGAAAAGGGTTTTGTATATAAATAGGAGTGGGGACAGTCTGGGGTTTCGCCGACAGCTTCCGTTTCCTAATTTTGGAACCTCCTTTCAATTTTTTTTTTCTATTTGCCCCCATTTTCTAATTTATCATTTTATCTTCATCCTATTAATGCATAAGCATAATTAAATTTTATACTATTAATGCGATTATCTTACGACATAAAATTTAAAACATGGCCAAGTCTTTCATCACAATTATTCGTATACTTGACCCCAAAAGAATACCACGAAATTATATCGTATAGCCGAAGACTATAATTAAAGTAAAAAAGACAAAAGGGGATTTTTTTTTTCATTTTAGGTACATTTTTGTAGGATGAAATGGGGAAGTGTGGGAGTAATTCAGTTGTTGTTACGCCGAATCTTCCGCAGAAATCTATATCTCTCCGCTTTACCTAAATTATGACTTTTGTAACTTTTTGGACTTTTAGATTGAGAAAAAACAGACCAAAGATCCCATACTTTTCATATTTAAATAGTAAGCTACTGTATTATTACCTTCGACCAAAGTTCATATCTGCGAAACTGTCTTATAAGTAATATTTGAAGGTACTTGTGTAATGAATAGGATAACGTAGTTCCTTGGTGTGCACGAGTGTGAAAGGAGAGGGTAAAAAAAGTCTGTCTTGGACAATTTTTTCAATGATACGATGGGAGAGAAGAAAAGAGAGCAGTAAAATGGAAGATTAAGATGATAGTTAAGAAATGAAATTTTAAATTTTATTTATTTTTAAAATTAGATAAAATTTACATATTATTTATTGTATGAAATTTGTTTATGAAGGTGGGAGGGAGAAGATGATAGGAAAGAGTGTTTAATTGCAGTACCAAAAGAAGAGAGCTCTTAAATGCAAGGCGCATTGAGTGAGTGAGTCACTCACCTGACTGAAGAAAGCAGAATATGTAACCCAAAGGGTAGCTGCTGCTGCTAGTACCTACGCCTACTGCTACGTATGTGTGCTCCCCTTCTATGGCGTCAAAACTCCAAATTTTTGGCCCACCACCATCCGTGCTGCTGCTGCAACGCAAACACTACCTAAAAACCCTATTCCTAAGGATCAGATGCATTAATTAACATCAAAAGTACTCTCATCAGATCACAGATGAATGAGGACCAACAAAATCAACCAATCTTTAATTACATTTTGACTGCTAGGTAAGGTAATGTCTCCGTCCTTTTATTATTTTAATGGAGTATTTTCTCTCATAATTACTCAAAGAAAATATTCTTTTTCTTTCTAAAAAAAAGTAACGGATAAAACTTAAAGTATTTTTAACTTCTGTAAACCAGATTTTTTTGGTTAAATAGTGACATTAATAATGGGATTCTGATAATTAGGGGATAGACAGCCTGATCGTTTAGCTTGTCTGTGACACCACATTGATGGGTTATAGAAAATTCTTGTATGTGCCAGAGTCTCACTCCATAATTTTCGTATGAGTAAATATTCGTTTTGGTAAAAGATAGATATAAAGGATGATAGATAAACCTTCGAAACAACATTTCTAATTTTTAAAGTATCAATTATCCGTATTTGTGATATTACAAATATAATTCAGAAATTTTATAAATAATTTATTATAAAATTAAATTATAACAAGTTGATTTTTTTTAGTAATTTTTAATATATTACATGATAACACTATCATAAAATTTAATATATCATTAGTATAACATACAAGACTGATGATTTATATAACATCTTAATAATAAAAACATTTAATAAAAAATAGTAATTTATTTTTTCAATTCTTTCTATTTTTATATTTAATTTTGATTTAATAGAGTTTTTTTTTTAATATGTAATCTAACGTAGCTTGTATTAATATTGTTTATAAGATGTCATTTATCAAAATTTGAATATTAATATGTTAAAATTTGGGTCGTTTTTTTATTTTAGAGTCTCTCTTATTTAAGTATGTAATATTTTTTAAAGAAAAAAATATTAAGATTTTGAGACGTGACATCTTTCAATGATATTATGATTAATTTAACAAAAAGAATTACATTGAGTCTATTTAATAAATATTAGCACTCAATAAAAAAATATTGAAAAATGAATCATAATATTAAATGTAGAGAATAAATTAAGCATTAAACTTAATTGTAATATTAGTGTGTTTGGTTTTTGTGACAATATGTTGAAAGTATAAATATTCTAGAGTAATCATCAAATGATTTGCTAAAGTTTCTAGCATTATTGTCTTGCAAATTTTGTCTATATTTATGGTAAGTATTTTTTTCAATTTTTATGTAGATAAGATTTGTGTTTTGGCCGTGTTTATGATTATTGTTTATGCAAAGCCGAATATGTCACTCTAACTTCAAGCAATCATAGCTCAAAGTACGATATACTTGTCCTCTAAAGTTAGCTAAGTGTGTTAGGTTACAATAAATGCGCTAACTAATTAATATAATTAATGTACCTCATAAAACATGTTATTTATATTACTATGTTAATGGATTCTTATTTGGATAGGCTTAAGCCACATGACCTAATTATCTATTGATATTTTTTTTTTCTTAGCTTAATTATGAATTATCATGAGTGACAATATGTTTGGTATGATCCCCTCTTGGTTGAATATGTGAACCAGATATATATCGACCCAATTGACTAATATATACTTAGCCAAAGATAATTTTATATTGACGTAACCGAAATACATTTGGACATGTATAATATAATACAATTATATCTCAGTTTGAAATACATAAATATGTATCCTGAGGTCTTTTAGAACATTGAGTGATTTACCTTTTAGAATAATTATTTATTTTTTGTGAAAAATATTATTGAAAAATATAAAAAACAAATAAATATATTATTTAGAGCTTGTGAAACACATTTAAGTCATAATAATCAATTGTTAAGTGGATAATTGATCATTAAGTTGAGATGCTAATAAATAGTTATAATAGATTATTTTAGGCATGTATACATACGCATTTAATTGGTTATTTAATTATATTAATTATATGTAACAAGTGTAATAAATCATTTTATACTTAGCGAATGTTAGTTATAAGTCGTGAATAAGGAAAACGTGTGGTAAATGTTTGTATGAGAGTGCGGCAGTTCAAAATCCTAGTATGTACTCTATTGATCAATTAGGTGATTGTTAAAATAAACTTCCTTAACCATACTTAGAGACTTTTGCTTTAGAGAGCTCTAACAATTTCAATTATATGTTTATTTTTTCATTCTAACACCACGTTTTGCTGGCGAGTAGTGTTGTAAAATCTTAGATAAACAATGCCATCCTTTACAAAAGAATTACCTAAAACACTGTAAAATGTTCCTTGTCATTATCGCTGTTAATTGAATACAAATAGGAATATATATATATATATATATATGTACACACATAAATGTCGATAAAAAAAATACATAATATTAAGTCAAATAATAGTGTAGAATAGAAATGTAATGTCATTTATGGCTTGAATCATGAAGGAATTCATGTAAAGTTATGATTCATTTACTCAAAAATATTCATGACATTAAAAATATAACAAGGAAATGAGAGATGAATCCGGTAAGAAAAATAATAATAATAACAATGTAAAGAATATAAAGAACTAGAATTTATAAATAAAATAACAATGTAATAAAAAGAAAATGGAAAAAAGACTACGGTGAGTTGATATACCTACACTTATTTAACATGATTTTTATAATAGAAAAGTGAGAAATAATGTGTCAAATGAATGTAGAAGTGTGTCAAAATATTTTTTTAAAAAAAAGAGACTTAAAGTTGTGTTCATTTGCGCGTGTGATATTGTTGACAACAAATGGTGAAGAAGGATTTTTAGATGACTAAGATGTTTTGATTCGCAAATTTGAGAGCGAAAAAATGAAAAATTTTGCGGGATGTAGAGATTTTTTACTCTCACTTAACTTAGGTGATCTGAGAGCGATAAGTGTGAAAATGTATTTTTACCCTTAAATTAAATCATCTGTTCTTCACATTTTTTTTTTCATGTGCATGGCGTTGGTGTTGGAGCTAGAGGGCATGAAGCTCATGGTTGAAGATGAAGGAGTGAGAATCCATTTCCATTGAGGTGAAACCAATTCCACCTTGGAGCGAACCCAACATAGGGAATCAATTCCCATTTGTGTTGTAAGTGATTCCAATGAGATGCATATATGACAAGGGAATTGATTCCCATAGCTTGGAACCAATTGCAAATGAGATGCAATGATAAGAGAATCGATTCCCATAACACTGAAACCGATTCCAGCATACATGGAACTGAATATGATGTCCCTATAATAGATTCCACTTCATCAAACATATAATTTTCAATGTTTTTATTAAGTTTAGTATTTCAAATAATTTTTACAAAATAAATGTAACTCATAAATTTAATTTTATATTACTTTTAACATTAAGGACAATTTGGTAATCTTAATTTTCTATCTATTAAAATATTTTTTTAATCTATCACATAGTAAAATCACTTACAAACTTTCACAAACTTTACTTCTAAGTTCACTCAATGGCACCTCCAAATTCCTTAGGATGTGTTCACTTATGAAGATGAATTTAAGGGAGAATGAGTAGATTAATTTGAGTGAATTTGAAAGTAAAATGTATGTTGTTTATTTTAAGGGTTTTGGAAGTGATAGAAACTAGATTTGAAAGTAAAGTTTGTGAGATATTTGACTCATGTAATATATTAAAAAGATGTTTTAATAGATAGAAAATGAAGAATATCAAATTATTCTTAATGTTATAAGTAATATAAAATTATTTTTGGATTAGTTGGAATTATATTAAAAAAAGGTTAATGAATAGTTTTCAATTTTTTTTAATTATTGTAATAGAAAAAACAAATACAACAATTTGTTTGATATAAAAATAAAAATTAAATATTTAGTTTTGTAATTAAAGAAAATATGAATGTTTGTTTTGCTTAGCTGACAAGCACAAATATATGCTTAGACATCCATGAACAATAAAAGAAAGAGAATAGAGTGTGTA